GCTATCAGCTATGTATGACTTCATAACTGGAGTAGTAAATGAGCTTGATTCCAGAAACTGCTCAGCTGGGCTTTTCTTCGACCTCAGTAAGGCATTCGATACTGTTGATCACAGGTTGCTGCTACGGAGAATGAGTGAGGTGGGAATACGTGGCCTGGCCTTAAACTGGATCTCGAGTTACCTTGAAGGCAGAAAACAGTTTGTGGAGATTCGTTCTGCGGATGAGACCGGGCTTTTGCGTCCATATTCCTCTGTCAAGTCCTCTATAGTGAGGGGAGTGCCTCAGGGTTCCGTACTCGGGCCTGTCCTATTCCTCCTTTTTATAAATTCCCTCCCTTCATCCACTCCAGCTGCAAAACCTACACTTTTTGCCGACGACACCTCCCTTTCAGTTTCTGGCTGCGATATCGATCGGTTAGAGTTGAGTGCCTTTTCTGAGGCGAACAATTTAGTCCAATGGTTTGATGACAACTTGTTAACCATAAACCCTGAAAAAACCCAACTCATACACTTTTCCATAACTAACAAACACCACAAGAGTTTTAGCCTTTTCGTAGATGAAACAGTGGTTCACCCAACTGACAGAGTTAAGTTCTTGGGATTGACCCTAGACAAAGGTCTCAGTTTCAAGAGCCATATAGAAAGCATTTCAGGAAAGATAAGCTCAGGAATATTTGTGTTGCGCAGCCTGAAACACACAACAAACTACAAAGTCTTGATTTCTGCATATTATGGCCTCATCTACCCCCACTTAGCGTATGCTGTACCAATTTGGGGTCATGAGAGTAGAAACACCAAGTTTCTATTCAAACTCCAAAAATGGGCAGTGCGAACTATTTTTTCACTGCCCAAGCGCCAATCTTGCAGATATTACTTCAAGAAATATAACATTTTAACTTTCCCCAGTTTATATATCCTGCAAACATTAACTTTTGTCAAACAACATTTTTCTTTATTTTTAGTCTCAGATAAATCTTCAGCCTGTCCCTACCCCTTGCGAAATACACATGATTTACCTATTCCGAAATATAAAACCTCCTTTTTCAGAAAGCATACACTCTACAACGGTATTAAACTATACAATAACCTATCCAAGTCCCTGAAGTTGGAATCAAACCATTCAAAGTTTAGGAAACGTTTAAAAAATGATCTAATTAGCTTCTCATGTTACAGTGTCAAGGAGTTTTTTTCAAACTGTAATAAAGAATGATAAGATCAATTAGTTTTTGTAAATAGATGGTAAGCATATTTGCAAATGTTATTTGTAAGCCTTGAGTTGTATTTTTTTTTCTGACTTAGCTAATGCAAGAAATTTTTTGTTAATTTTAGCTGAATAAACGAATTTGAATTTGAATTTGAATTTTCGCTCACCAAAGGTTGTGATCCAGTAAACGAACTCTTGAACTTTTATCCTAAAATGCGTACAAAATTGTACCGTAAGGTTTCACAGAAAAGATCATTGCCACTGCATTCACGTTTAATTTTATCAACATTAAATGCATTTCCATCAATGTTTGTACATTAAAATAATCTTAGACTTTTTTAAACATATCATAATTTGTAAAACAGCACATATACATAAGTTACGAGATGTTTTAAATTCAACTTAAAGCATGGCTGCAATTGCAAACCTTCCTGTTCAAATGAAGAACAAAATAAATCACAGAATCCTAAACAAAATCTGCATTTCTTCTACATACTGGCCTACAAGTTACAAGCGTAATACGCAAAAACAGTAAAATACTTAATTTACAATGTAATTAATTTAGTGTCGAATTATTCTAGTGACTTCCGAAACTATGTAACATTGTAAAAAAAATTCATAGATTCAAGGGCAATAAAAATTACAAATAGCAAAAAATTAAATAGCCTAATGACAAAAAACTAATAACATTAGTCCGTAGTCATGTCTATGCATTCCCGACCACGCAACTGTTGAAATGCCAAAATACCTTTCAAATGCCAACACAATGAATATTCGGAATCAAAATGCCAACGCGAACCAAGTATGCCAAAACACACGTCATAACTTAGTGTGAACACGAAAGACAATGTTCAATCTTATCCTAAGTCTTAAAGATTCATATGGTTCTTTTAGGGTGTGTTTCATCCCCAGTTTCGTTATTTATCTTATCAAGTGCTCAAAATATATTTGTATAAGTTCCCTGATATAAATACAACCTCAGAAATTTACAGACAAACTACAATCTACAACCACACAGACTCACTAAAACTAGCAGAAATCCAAAAATAATAGGAACTAAAATATTTAACACACTGCCAAACAACCTGAAATCAATAGATTCAAACACTCTTTTCTTAAAAAAACTGAAACAATACTTAATCAACAAACCTTACTATAGTCTAAATGAATATTTCGAAGACCACACACCCTACAACAATACATAACAATATCCAAAGAAGAAAGAAAAGGAAAAAAACAAGAATTTTTGGCGATTCCCTGGTCTCAACGACTATGGAGAAGAGGACCTAGGTAAAAGGTAAAAGGTAATACAAGTATAACAATACTTATAACTCCACTCAAAACCAATGTTAAAGCTTTGACTATTAATACAAAGTTGAAGCATAGACTAAACCAACACCAGTGGACTTCTCATGCTGTTGTAATTTTTTTCTTAAGCCAGTTTTTCGTGTCTATAAAGTTCACGTACGGTGACACTGGGCTAAGTTATAGTGTCAACGAAATTTTGATTCTATTATTTGAGGGGTGATTTTCTAATTTGTGCTTAACTATTTGATTTGTATAACTAGGAGAAGAGTTATTGATTATGATTAGGTCGTTTTATTTTGTCTAACGAGGTTTTTAATGACTGAAATGACAAGAAACAAATTGTAAATAAAACACGATCTCTGCAGTATACGGTACCTACTGAACTAACAATCAAATTGGCTTCAGCTGTTCCATAAGGATAAGAAATCTACTAAGGGGGGTGGCTTAATCTATGGTTTAAGCCAGGAAGTCAGGTATGTAAGAACAGCTGTTAGAATGATAAGTGCAAAAATCCATGGATCGGTACAGAAGACTAATCCTGTAGGCTATAAACCGCAGTATACACTGTAATTGTACTTAAAAATCATACTTATTTCCATCATCTTTTACCAGAAGTTCTTGGATAGCTTAGGTCAGAACCACGCTAATAATCTAAACTGTGCAGTACACCGCCATATAGAAAATAAATAGCTATTTTTGAATCAAATTCAAGTCTATTGTTGTAAGAAGTATAATTGGTACAGTTTTATTGAAGCACCATTGTCTAATTGTTTATTTTAATTGACATGACCAAATGCAAATTTTGTATTTGTTATTTTGGTTTAATAAATGAGTTATGAGTTAACTATATCCTGCTAGTACTGAGCATTATAAACACATGAGTTTATCCTCATTAAATAAAGGCTATCCTATCAACATTTGTTTGTCTGTAATAAGGATTAATATCAATTAATTATGTGCATCAAAATAGTTTATTTACCAGTGTCAATACGTTAAACTATTTCAAAAGATCCGATGGTAAATGAAATCTAGATAGAATTTTGATAATCCTGTTATCACATGTACAAACTTGTACACTCAATTGAGTACAAAGGCCGATAAACATGTCCTATCATACAATTTGCATAGGTTTTTTGTCAATACTCTAAATTTTGAATACTGTGCTGTATTATCTCCGATCTGTGTTTTTGCAGAATGTAATCTGTTGACGTGTCCTGTGCATGTATGTATGTGCCTCACTGGAATACAAATATTGACTCTGGATTCTAATAGTTGAGCTCTCTATGCACATTCCATGATAATTAATTTACTGTTAGCGAATACCCAGCGACTTGACACATGACTAGAATTGAATAAAGATAACATACTTAAATGTATTTCTTGTTTGTTGTTAGTGTTTATTGGGTAAGTGGTTGTTTAAAAAAAAATTATTTAATATGCATTGTTCCTGTATATGTGGTGAGCTCATTTTTGCAATCAATTACCTACATTCACTTATTTCGTTACTGATCAATTATATTGATGGCTATCGCATACCCCCTCAAAGAATAGTTTATGGAAATAAATAAGTTAGAATGCCTTCGTCATCTTTGTATACTTATTGTAAACTGTTACTTCAGCGTTGAATGTAAGTTAAAACTAAAATAAACTATGCTAGGGCTCACGGAGAATTGGCTTCACCCTGTGATGGTATTGAACTCGTCCCTAATTGTGCACAGAAAGGAAATTGTTTGAAAAAGTCTGTGAAAAGGATATAATTAGCATGCACAAGTTAGGCTAAGTAAGGATTTTGACCAACTAAACACTATTATTGTAACTTGACAATGCCTATTCCTAACTATAAACTTGGACGACCTAACTGTAAACAAACTAGATGCCAGTTTGAATATTAAAAAAAAACTACGAAAAAGCGCTTTGCTGCAACGTCAGTGTGAAAACAAAAACTAACATTGTCACATTGATTCATCCTGTTTTGCAATAGCAATACGCTGGAATTCTGACATGGAATGAGACATCAGTACAGGGATTGACAAAATTTGTTTAAAAATTGAAATTGATGGTTGAAATTAAGCTAGCCTACAAGCCTGACAGGTACAATGAAATTGCGAGTGAATAGTTGTGGCAGATAAACATTGATAATGATGACAAAACATAAACCGTCGTAAGGCTACCTTCTACAGTTTTTAGACTCTTTGATAAGGTGATAAGGAACAGTTGATTGATCAGATTGACCAAAGGTTTGTTATGCTATCTTGACTTGATTGCTATCTCACTACCTTTTAAACTATAATAATCAATATCTGATTAAAAGCCTATCATCCAATGTAATATCCGGACCACCTTATGACAAGTTTGAAGTTAATTTGTCTGAACCATTACAAGTTCCTAAATCACCGCATATTCGACAAGCCACAACGACATAAACACTAAACTAAAACACTATCTGTGTTATCTATCAGTGGCGCTAGCTAGTGATAAGATAACTCACCACGCCGCCTTCCAAGTCGCTGTCTCGGTGGTCCATCTCCATCTGATAGACCGGCACCGGTTCTCTGTTTTTGACCCGAATTTTGACTGATTCCGAGGACAACTTGGGCTAAACGGTCAGGAAGTTCTCACAACACAACTGCACGAGTCACTAACACTAATAGAACATCACAGTGGACGGCAGACACTGCTCTTAGCGTGGCGAGGAGCGGACTGAAGCCAGCAGACGGCGCGGGTCGGCCCCTCCCAGCATCAGCCAATAGCAGCCGAGGGGCGGAGCCTACGATTGTAATCGGAAAAAACACTCCGAATGCGCGTTTGATCCGAATAATCGGACCAATGAGACTTTATAGGGCGCGATCAGCCAATGAGCGCACGCCTGGCAGATCAGATCACGGTAATTAATTAAGGGTAACGCCAAGTTTATAGCCTGTAAATGTTCTGCGTTAAGAGAATGCAACAGTGGAACAGTGTTTTTTTTATTTATGGCTGGTGATTAATTATAGAAATGTAATATGTAAGTGGCCAGCGCCATTTACAATACAGGAATACATACCACAAACTATAATAAATACAAACAATAAGTTAATGCATTCACATTATCACTATACTCCGTTCACACAGCCGTGGCACCTGACGGATTAGGACACCCCATGGAAACCCTTGGGGCCTCCTAATCCCTCAGGTGCCACGGCTGTGTGAACGCACTATATACCCAATACCCTATCGAAGATGCATGCGTGTCAGGAATTAATTAGAGAAATGTCCCCGCCGAAAAAAAAAACATGCAGGCTAAGCGAATTTCCAATTGCCCTTGCCCAGTTAGATTTATCGAAGATGCATGCATGTCAGGAATTAATTAGAGAAATGTCCCCGCCGAAAAAAAACATGCAGGCTAAGCGAATTTCCAATTGCCCTTGCCCAGTTAGATTTTCACTCAAATCCTTATGTATAATTCTGTAAGACAAAATTTTTACCAGAAAGTTGAGGACGTCTGGTAAGTCGCAGAAATGTGGGAGGGGTCTTAAATTAAAGGTCTTGACCCCAGGGACTCGGGAAAATTTTCATTTTCATTTTCATTTTTCATTTTTATTTTCCACGGCAATGCCATTTACAAAATACAATCAGTTAAGATTATAATAGATTATATGAATACAAAATGTTAAATTATAACAAAACAACATTTGATCAGCAATAACAACAATACAATCGATCAACAATAATAAACTATGACATAACAAAAACAAGGTATAAGAATAATAATAACAATAACAATGATAATGAAATGTGGTATGGTAGGATGTCTGAGTTAGATCTGTTGTATTCTAATGTAAGTGGTGTAGTTCTGTAGTATAAGTAGTGCGAAGTCTGGTGTAAATCTGTATTTGGATGTGAAGCAGAGGTGCCCATCCCCCCCAAACCCAGAGGCGCAATCCCCCCCCCCCAAGCCAAAGGAGTAGCCCCCCCTATTTATACTGCCGTATATTTAAACCTACCCTCCCCCCGCCAATTTATCTGTAAATTTCCCCTTTACCTCATAAAATGAGCATTTAAAGTATTTAGTAAAAGTTGAGATAAAGAAAAACAAACTTTCTGATAATAAAAATTAAATGTTTAATAGTAAACTTCATTTAACAATGTATCATTATATTTAACTAATGGACGAATTAGAAGTTTTTCAATTTAAAATTCAGAATCTGTATTATCAGCCAACGGTTACTCAGTATTGCAATAGAAAATGTCTTCAAAACGTACAACAATATACTCGGTGAATTACTCTACTCCAACACAGTACTGTAACTGTACAATATATTAGGTGGCGTTAATTTTACGGGGCTTAAGAATTCAAACAGCTTTAAGTGCATTAATAATACTTTGGCAAAAAGTAGGCTATCTTATTTTGGAATTATAGGCAGAGTCACGAAATAGGACAGACTTAGACTTGTTGCTCGCCACTCTTAGGCCTCCTTCTACAAAAATCGCCGGAAAAAATACCCAGAATTCCTTAATTGCCACCAGCATAAAAGGTTTTTGTCATGAAGTAATCTTATAAAAAATTCATTTTGATAGCCCCAGGATTGCCTCTTATGACTAATAATGGTAGAAACGCATCTTGTCAGACAATCCTTAATAATATATGTAAGGTAGAGTCGAATTTTACTTGCTATATAATATGTTCTGGCGGTTCTTTAACTCCACCATCGGAGGCTTACAAAAGGATCCACTTCTGGAGGTGTCGTCAGAATATGTTACAAACATTAAACACGAAACGATAACAGATAGGCCTATCAATTCACGCGTGTATATTGCCGCGGGCAGGACTGGAAGTAAACTGAATCAGGTTATGACGGAAAGACGTGGTCTCTGGATTGTCGTCTGTGTTATCAAAAGCTGATATTGGACTAATTGTAGTGACGAAGGAGAGTGTTGAAAATATGATGGGATTCATAATTGAGTTTTCCATTCAAAATTATTGACAATAATAACCAATTTATATGCTGGATATAAATTATGGTCTCGAAATTCTACAGTACTGCGCGAAAGGAATTTTATTAAATACATTTGAAGAGTTTGAAATTTATAAATACATAAAACTAGGGACAGCACACAATTTTTGAGTGAAAACACTCGATTAACTATGAATTCCATTATATTTTCAACACTCTTCTCAGTCATTACAATAGTGCAATATCAGCTGTTGAAAACGCAGACGACAATCTAGAGACCATGTCAGTCCGTCTCCGTCATAACCTGAACCTGATTCAGTTTACTTCCAGTCCTGCCGACGGCAATGTACACGCGTGAATTGATAGGCATATCTGTAATCGTTTCGTGTTTTGTATTAAATTTTTGTAACGTATTCTGACGACACCTCCAGAAGTGGATCTTTATGTAAGCCTGACGATAATGGAGTTTAAGAACCACCAAAACATATGTATCAAGTAAAATTTGACACTAGAATATTAAGGATTGCCTGACAAGGTGTGTTTTTGTTTTTACCATTCTTAGAAGCAATCTTAATTACGAATGGCAAAATGTTGGTGTTTATACAACATTATACATTCATTATGATAGCTAGCAAAAAAATGCCCCCCCCCCCAAAAGAACCCAAAAAAATTCCCCCCCCCCTCTGGGCACCCCTGATGTGAAGTGTAATGTGGTGTGAATTAATTAAACGTGTAGGATTTTATGTTTAAGGGAGGCTAGACTGTCGCTGTAGAGGTCCACATGAGTTGAGAATTTCGTTGAGGAAAATAGCAGAATTCCCATGAAGTTACCAGAAAACGAGATATAACGTAAAATGTTCTCCATAAGAATAGCATTAAAGCCATTTACTGTTGATTTCTGTTTACTTAAATACAGCTGAACGTGATTTATCATCAATCCAGTACGCTATGTTACATTTGGATTACTTATTTGCCAGTCAATTCTGCAATGAACTATATAAAACCAGGGATAACGTTACCTATAATAATGAAGACATTTTAGTTACGTTATAGAATGTTGAAATGAATTATTTTACTGTGAAACTTTTCAAAGTTGTGTATTTTTAACGTTTCACTTGAAATAACCACATTGACTAAATAATTAAAGATTCAAGATAAAATGGAAAACTTCTGATTTGTTTTTATTTAAAAAAATATGTTCAAGATTTATTCTACACTTTCTTTGTAGATTACTAACATTTTAAATTTGAGATTTATTGTAGAGTTTAATCAATATTTTGTATGAAAAGGAATAACCTCAACGGCTACTCTTAGAAAATAGGTAACCTGGGAATAAAGATGGAATAGGTTCGTACAGGAAATAATGTTTGGAGATTTTAAACAGGTTTTGTCTGTTGCTCTTAGCATAAAAAGGTTTAAGTAATATAGCCTAGCATGTATGGTATATAATAGTAAAGGGAGCACCCACATATAACAGTAAAACTTATAGGTAGTTTCCGTTTCTTTACGTTGCTTAAACAAACAAAAAATATGCATGTCAATGCTGATGAAAAGTAATTTCGTTATTGGTTTTGATAACTGGGCAATGGAACCCTATCCAGTCACTAAAGAGTTAGGAATCAGCCGATGATTAGGCCTATTTTGATAGAATATGTAAAGTCAATCGCACTTTTAAGGAATACCATAACATAAACTTACATTAATTGCAGTTTTTTTTGTTGATTAGAAAAAAATCTATGGTTAAGTTTGGTCAATGGGATGCCTTTACTTTACACTATAATTTTGTTAAACCTTAACAAAAGGAGTATAAACATAGAAATATTAACTGGTCAGGGATTCTAATTTAGCAGCTTTGACCAAGCTTACCTCAACACACCTTTATTAGCTTTTTCATATTCGACGAAGACAATTTCCAAAATTCCAATCAGGGAAGGCTTTTTATCACCCTTAACCTCAAGACCAAAGCTACTTTAATAAACCAGTATTTATTCACAAACAATTATATGTTTGCTCCCTTTAGCAGAGTTAAACCTATGGAGTGATTCAAATGATTTATTGAAAATAACATCAACAAAAGCAAACAAAGACAAACAACAAACTGTTTTTTACACAAAAGATATGGTGTACAGGGATATCTATTCTGACACATATATAATATATTTCTGAGTTTGTTTAAATATTAGAATAATTTCTTTACATTATTGAGCTTTTTAGGGACTTATGTCCCTACACGCCACTAGTATTATTATTATTTTACATATCAACGGACACCTCCAATTATACTATTAATTTTAAATCAAAAATTACCTTAACATTTTCCGATCTATTTCCTTTTGAAATAATAGTAAGTTCTATGAGTACTTTATTATTTATTTTAACTGACATCCCACCATCTTGTAAATTTTCTGTTTGTAAACTGACTGCTTGCCGTAGAAAAACATAAATAAGTACTTAGGTTTGTTGCTACAGTGTTAGAGTGTAGGTTTTATTGAAATGTTAATAGCGTTGTAATTAATAAATATGCCAAATTTTATCAAAATATTTCAATATTAAATCAAATAAAGTGCAAAATACCAATGTTCAAGAAACACTGAAATAGCAACAGCAATAACAAAACTCACAATAACGCTAAAAGAGAAAACAACAGGTAATTGCAAAAAAATAAAGCATGCCAATAATCTTTGTATCTATATAGGGAATATTGAACACAAGGCGTATCTAGAATAAGAGAGTCGTTCAGGC